GTATTTCATGCTCTAAATTCTCGATATCTTCTACGTTCTGGGTGAAAATCAGGTCTAATAGGCTCGGTGCATCTCCTCCTCTTTCCCTTGTGTCTTCCTTCACATGTTGTGTCAGGAAATTCCTGTCTATAACATCTACTAATTTTGCTCCCCACGTTTCGTCCCCTCCATGGGGATTCCTTGATTCCCAATTTATCTCTCCATGATTTAGGTCCCCCATGATCAGCAGCTTCGCTCTCATTCTGTGGGCTAGTGTTGCTGCCTTCTGCAGTTCATCTATACATGCTTTGTTGTTGTCATCATACTCCTGCCTGGGTCTTCTACTGTTTGGTGGGGGATTGTAGATTACCATGATCACAATCTTCCTCCCATCTACTGTCAGAGTTCCATGTATGAAGCTTGTGCACTCATTGGTAACTCGATTTCCCAGGTCTTCAAACTTCCATTTCCGCTTTATTAGGAGTGCTACTCCCCCTCCCTGTCTCTGTGTCCTCTCTTTTCGTATCACCTGGTACCCTTCAGGAAAGATTGCATCTGAGATCATGTCATTAATTTTAGTTTCCACAATTGCAACTATGTCAGGATCTGCTTCACTCACTCTTTCTTTTATCTCTTCTGCTTTATTAGATACCCCATCAGCATTGGTGTACCAAACCTTGAGATTCTTCATGGAAACTCTTGTACCAGAGTTCTCCCTTTCTCTGGGGGTCTGGGGGGATCTGGGGGATGTCTGGGGGGTGACTGGGGGCAGAGGGGATCCGGGGGATCTGGGGGGTGTCTGGGGGATGACTGGGGGCGGGGAGGGTCCGGGGGATGTCCGGGGGGATCCGGGGGGTGTCTGGGGGGGTCCGGGGGGTGTATGGGGGGTGAAAGAGTTCAGGAGGGGTGCTTGGGGGGCTACTGGGGGCTGGGCTTCTAGGAAGGTAGGTAGGAGGGTCTGGGGTAGGGCCTGGGTAGGTAGGTCTGGAGTAGGAAGGGCATACTGGGTCTGAAGATTAGGGAGGGCATAGAGGGGTTGGGAGATAGCGTAAGGTTGGGAGACAGATAGAGGTTGAGAGGTTGGGAGGGGGAAGGATAGAGGGGGTGGGGGGGACCTCCCACCTCCCTCGCAAGGGTGGGGGGTCACATGGAAGGAGAGGGGATGAGGAGGGGTGAGGGCAGGGTAGGCTTTGGGTGTTGAGGGGATGAGGTCTGGGTGGGTTCTTGGGGTTGAGGGGATGAGGTCTGGATGGGTTTTGGGGGTTGAGGGGATGAGAGCTGGGTGGGTTTTGGGGGTTGAGGGGATGAGGGCTGGACGGGTTTTGGGGGTTGAGGTGATGAGGGGGTCCTTGGAATGTGGGATGAATTTGACTCCAGTGGGGTCAGAGGGGTCAAGGGATGTGCTGGGGAGATAAGCAGGGGCGGCTGATTTGGGGAAGGGGTGACCTGAGAAGCACGTGTGAGCTGGTTAGCATGGGGTGGATTAGCACTGGGGTGTGTAGCTGCGCTCAAATGGGAAGAGTCGTATTGTTGTTTGCATGCTCTGTGGGCAATCTGTTCCTCCTTCGTCATGAATTTGTCAATAAATACGTTGTAGTAATTTTCGCTACCTCTGAGTAGGTGTTTGTGATGCAGTATGTAATCCACTGCCTCTTCGTTAGTGAACTGTACCAGGACAGGTCGTTTCCTGTTACAGTTGTATGGTCCAATGCGTCGGTGGACTTGCACCTCATTCCCTGCCATCTGGGCTCTCATGTCTCTCAAGATCCCCTGTAGTTCCAAATCCTCAATCTCCATCCTTTCCTGCCTCGATGGTGCCCTGGCTTCAAGTAATCCATGGATTATGATTGTCCTCTTTCTCAGTTCATGGTCATGCTGGTGGCCCTCTCCCTGGCTGACCCCCACCCCTCCTACACCCGCTACTCCACCTACTACTACTCCCCCTTCCCCTGCCAAGCTTCCCTTATTCCTGCCAAATTCATTAGTAAGCCTAGATATTTCTCCTTGCCATTCTACCCTGCTCTTCCTGATTTCCTCTTGAATATAATCCATAAACTCTTGTTTGAGTCTTTGAACCTCGCCCTGTATCTTATTAAAGACTTCACTTTTAATCCCCTGGATTAGATCATCTATCCAAACATCCCTCTTCTCTACAAATTTCCCAATCATCTTCTCCACAAACCTATCTTCTTCCTCAATCATAATACTGTTGGACCTAGACACCCTTCCTGACCTAGTCATTGCTATAATGCAACCTTACCCACAGGGGTTCCAAGTATCTTACCGTCCTGCTAACACAATAGGTGAGTGAATCTCCAAGCGTCGTCCCACGTGGTGGTAGGAGGGTTGCTGCCGGGGTGAGGTCACGCGGTCAGAGGTCGGTGAGGTCTGCTCCACACTACACACTGCCACAATACTTCCTCAACTATATTGAATTACGCTATTTAAACTGTTTTTCTTCACTACCTTATGGCTCTGGCCAAAACTCAAGTTTTTTTCATTCACTTGTACACACTTTTTCACTTCGAAGTTGCCTGATTACCCCTCCCACTCCACTGGTGAACCAGGAGCTCCCAACCCACGTCTACCCAACACGATGGTCACAAGACAAGTCTTGTGTGTGTGTGTGTGTGTGTGTTTACTAGTTGTGTTTTTGCGGGGGTTGAGCTTTGCTCTTTCGGCCCGCCTCTCAACTGTCAGTCAACTGTTTACTAACTACATTTTTTTTTTTCCCCACACCACACACCCACACACCCTAGGAAGCAGCCCGAGACAGCTGACTAACTCCCAGGTATCTATTTACTGCTAGGTAACAGGGGCATTTAGGGTGAAAGAAACTTTGCCCATTTGTTTCTGCCTTGTGCGGGAATCGAACCCGCGCCACAGAATTACGAGTCCTGCGCGCTATCCACCAGGCTACGAGGCCCCTATGAGGCCTATGAGGCCCCTACGAGGCCCACACACACACCTGTGTGTGTGTGTGTGTGTGTGTGTGTGTGTGCGTGCAGCATTTTAGACCAATTTGAGTAGTAAGAGTTAAAGAGAGGGTAGCCAGGCGCCTCTAAAAACAAGGCAGGCTATGACCTACCAGGATGAAGGAACAGAAGCTGATTGGCTGTCTGTCGTTCAAACTGGCCAATCATCAGTCACAAAACCTTTGATTGGGAGTTGCGAAGCGTCCCATTGGTGTGGTGTTGTGTAACTGGAGGTTCTAAGACTTGGTGGATGCACAAAAGGTTGAGCTCCAGAAATAAGCAGTGCTTCCCCGGTTTGCAAGCCGGGTTGAGGCTTTGTCTTCAGCCCTGAGAGGCAACCGTGCCTATCACAAGAAGCAGCAATATTCCCAACATCAGGGAATGTATAATTCAGCGTTGCCCAAAGTTGAATGCAACACAGGAATGGCTAATGGTATTATGTTGCAATAGTCATATGACCGTGTGTATTGCAAGATGCCTAGGTCAGGTGTAACAAGGTGTTGAAGTCCGAGGCTGAGGGAGAAACCTCAGTTAACTCAGGGGAGTTTCGTTCGAGAAAAGATTACTGCAAACTGAGGTAAAGTTGTGCAGTGAAATCTTTTTCAGCGAGCACACAACCTGTGGTTTTGATAGTCCAGTGAGCAAACAGTGAAGTACGTGAGTCACAGCCCACTTCACCGGCAGATATTAGTTTTTAAGCAGTGAAGTGCAACGATTTATTCCCCTTAGCGACAGCTGCAGGTTGCCACACTGAGCAGTGCAGTTGTCCGAGTATCAGCAGAGAGTTCCAGTGAACTTGCGAGCAATGATAAGAGGCTTTAGTGTCCATAGTGACGAGATTACAGTGACGGACCGCTGTAACAACGACCTATATGGTCGTCATTCAACCAGTCTTCCTACAAAGAACGTCGTATGTCGCTCCTATGCGTTACATAAGGCCACATAAAAATGGTCGTACTAGCAAACTCGTCCTACTAACAAAACTACGCATTTTGACGTATGCTCTACCTAAGACCAAAAGTTGTCGTACTAGAAAATGGAAGTGACGTACTGTCCCGTTTTCTGTTTTGGGTCCTCTGGCAAGTTAGGATAAGGGGGCACGGGGATTGAGCTTGGCGTTGGAGAACCTTAGGTGCACAACCGCGTCAGGTGAGACATGATGAACACCGTCCTCCTAAGGTCACCCAACGTCAAGAAACTGACGTTCTAAAGTGTGCCCTTTTCCTAACCTACCAAAGGCCCCCAAAACAAAAAACGGCACATTCTGTCAATTTTGCGAGCCGCTTCCATTTTCTAATACGACGATTTTTGGCCTTAGGTAGACCATACGTCAAAATGCGGTTCTATTAGTATGACGCGTTATGACGTACAACGACAGACATCAGGCGACGCCAAGAATAGTTTCCCGCCCGCTGGCGACGACACGTCAGAGTGTGGACGACATGGCGCCAGGGACTGATATTTAGCGCTAGGGACAGATATTTGGCGCCAGGGACAGATATTTGGCGCCAGGGACTGATATTTGGCGCCAGGGACAGATATTTGGCGCCAGGGACTGATCTTGGCCCCAGGGGACTGATATTTGTGGCCAGGGACTGATATTGGCCCCAGGGGACAGATATTTGGCGCCAGGGACTGATATTGGCCCCCCGGGACTGATATTTGACGCCAGGGACTGATATTTGACGCCAGGGACTGATATTTGACGCCACGACTGATATTTGACGCCAGGGACTGATATTTGACGCCAGGGACTGATATTTGACGCCAGGGACTGATATTTGTGGCCAGGGACTGATATTTGGCCCCAGGGGACTGATATTTGACGCCACGACTGATATTTGACGCCAGGGACTGATATTTGACGCCAGGGACTGATATTTGACGCCAGGGACTGATATTTGACGCCAGGGACTGATATTTGACGCCAGGGACTGATATTTGGCCCCAGGGGACTGATATTTGTGGCCAGGGACTGATATTGGCCCCCCGGGACTGATATTTGACGCCACGACTGATATTTGGCGCTATGACTGATATTTGGCG